TGTTATTTGATTTAGTTGCTTGTTCTATCTGCTCCAGGACAAGGCTTGGGACACATCCGTCTATTCCACCACCATTTTGTCTCTCATTTTGTTGTTGTTGTTGTTGTTCACTTTTTAAAAATATTTTGAATCTCCTGGTAGCCTCAAAGAAGTGGCCAGGGTCTCTTGATCTTTGGGAATCCCTGCTTGCCAAACCTCATAAACTATGCAGCACTTCAAAAATGCCTCACAGGCCTTTCTGGAAGCCACTGCCATGGGAGAGCCAGTCCTTGGTTCCAAGGACCAGCCGCTGCTGCTGCTTCCTTGTCCACCTATGAGCAGCAGCCCCAGTACTCGCGCCCAAAGCTGGCCCACTGCATCCCCTACTGGGCTGCAAGGCCACCTCCACCACAGTGGACCCTGAGTGTGCCTGTGAGTAGCTGCAGCCTGCTAGGAGCCCTGTCCCCGGGCATGCCTCCCCAGTAGCTCCCAGCCACACCTGCCGCCACAGCACGCACCTTGCTTTCACTGAGATCATAGCACGCAGGCTGTTGCTGGTCCACATCACCAACTAGAATGAAGGTGTTTCATAGGAAAGCACTAGTGCTGTGCACAGGCTATGCACTGCTGCTTGTGCTCACCATGCTCAACCTCCTGGACTACAAGTGGCACAAGGAGACAGTACCGCAGATAAATTTCTTATCTCTGCTTCATTTATCACCTCTTCTAGAAAATTCTCTTGTTCTTTCATTTAGGGGTTGTTTCTTTGTCTCCCCATTTGGCTGTCTGTTTGCATTCAGGACTATGGATTAGGTAGATCCTCTATGCCCTCAATCTCTAGTGCAGGACAGTGTCAAACACTGTTTCTGACTAATTAGATCAGTCAAAGATTGAAAGCCTCCAGGAACCACTTCTGCCTACAGATGATAGGATTCAAACTTGAATGGCCCCAGGAAATTGTCCTCAGGTGTGGTGAGAATGTTTTCCAACAGGGTGGGACAGATGCTTCTGCCTGGAAGCTAATTGCTATTTTTGGTCTCTTAAGTGGCCTCGGGGCAAGGTGTTTTCCAATAGAGTGCCTCAACTGTCTTTCCCCCAGTCTGTGTCAGAAAGATGTCCTCTGCTGTGTGAGGGAATGACTCAGCACAGAAAACTGGGGATGTCTGACATCTGAGCTATAACCCCCAAACCACCAATCCTGGCTTCAGTTCATACAGTTCCAGCCCACTCTGCCCTCCCTCTACCAGAGCACTAGGTGGGTGGCTCCACAGAGAATTCTGTGCAATGGCCATTTAAAATGGTGCCTGAATTTTCAGCCATCACTCCCTAGCAGACAGCAACCCCGCTGCTTTTCACAGCCAGATGTGATGTGTGTACCCTCTCAGTTGTAGTGCTCTTTTCTGGGGAGGCCAGCTTGGGATTTAGATCCCCAAGTTCCCATTGGAAACCCCCACAGCTGAGATATCTTTCTGGAACTTCAGTTGCTGTCTGTGGGTGTTTGGCCAGCCCTTTCAAGCCTACATCCCTCATACCAGTCTTTATGTGGTCTCCACTTTCAATCCTCAGCTGTGAGGGTTCTCTCCTGTGAGTCTTCCATAAATAATTCAGGAATTATAATTTAGTTGTAATTCCAGTTTGTTCCTGGGAGCATGTCCGTGAAAAATCCATGTACTCTGCCTCCATTTTTGTTCTCTTGATCATTATTCAGTCTTTATTAGTCTCAGGCTATTGACTCCAGAGTTCGGGGAGAGGTTTTCCAACAGGGTGGGACAATTGCTTACCCACCACTCCTCCTCCCCCAAGGATAAAGATGCCTGAATGGTAAATATCTACCTGAGAAACATGTCCTCTGCAGTATGAAAGAAAGACTCAGCACAGGAAACTAGGGCAGCTGCCTTCTGAGCTCTTATCCCAGAGCCCCCAAACCTGGATTCTGCTCACAAGGCTCTAGTCCACTCAGCCCTCCCTCTGCCAGAGCCCAAGGTGAGTGGCTTCACATGAAATTTTGTGTGTTGGTGCTTTAATAAGATACCTGAATTTCCAGCTTTCTTTCCCTGGCAGACAGAAACCCCACTGCTTTACACAAACAGTTGTCATGTGGGCACCTTTCTCAGTTCTGGTGCTGTGGGTGGGGGGCCCAGCTTGGAATTTAGACTCCAGAGTTCTCAGCTGAGGAGCCCTCACAGCTGAGGTATCTTCAGTTGCAGTCTGTTGGAGCCAAGCCAGCCTTCTCATGACTTCAAACTTTCTACCAGGCTTGATGGGGTCTCCACTTTCCACCCTTGCTTATCAACATCGTCTCCAGCTAGTCATCATTTGATTACTCAGGATGGTGTTTCTGTATTTTAGTTGCAATTCCAGTCTGGTCCCGGGAGAGTGTCTGTAGTTTCTACTTACTGTTGCCATTTTAGAACCTAAAGAGTTTTATTATTATTTTTTACGAGAAAGCACACAAGGTTTTCAGAAACCTCCATTACACATAATTTCTTTCAGGAAATAATGAATGAATCCAAGGAGAATGTGGTATTTGTTGAAAAGAGGGGTTAAGAACATGGTTCAAACTTTCAGGAGAAATGAGAAAGGTCTTAGGGGTAGACCAAGCCAAACTTCAAAATCATCTTGATGTTTTACCAAAAAGTGAAATTTATCCCAGTGTTTTTACAAGAAGTATTAGTGGTTTTCTTCCAAGATAAAAGAAATTCCACTTTTGCACAAATACTACAGAATAGAAAAGTTTTATTATAGTAACAATGAGCAAACAATTGTAATGGGTGGGGGAAACCATGTGGGAATGAAGCACCTCGCAGTAAGTAATCAAGGTGAGGAGTGTTGGCAATGTGGTGGCCACAGTGAGTTTCACAAGAAAAGGACAAAACTAGTTATTCAGTGAAGTGGTTACATATATGTTGCTCAAAGACTATCCACTGAAACATCTGAATATACTGAACATTGTTCTCTTAGCTGTTGAATCTCTGTCTTTTACTCTTTATGACATTTCACTTAGTTGAGTTCTAAGAAATCTGTTTTTCAGAGAACTCTGTTGTTCAGTGGGAAGATAATAAGGAACAACTTCAATCTTTCCATAAGAATGTAATTCAACAAATTTATGGTCATTTAGAAAGAATTCTATAAGTATCTCTAGCTATCCATTACCTAATAAAAATAATTCATTTATCTAACAACATAAGTAAAATGATCATTGTCATTCCAAAGGTTAAAATGTGAAGAAGTCACAGGTGGAGATTATGTAACAATCTAGGAAGATTCTAGAGGAGAAATGGTTACTAGGGATAAATACAGAAAGCTTGTAGTCACCGTCTTTTGGTCTCATGCATTCCCCTTCTCTGTTTCTGAGAAAGAGCTCAGTAGATAGGGATTATCCATACTTTCTGCTTTGGAGTTTTACAAATTGAGAATGTGTCTCTTCTTGTAGAATAAATGAAATATCTACTAATTGACAACAAAAAACTTTACTACAGTCCTGAGAGCTTGAGAGATAGAAACAGATTTTGGGGGAATGAGATTTGTGGGGGAGGAACACTTGAAAATATGCAGGAGACATACACAGATTTTCATTAAGCTTTACCTTCCTTGAACAGAAATGAGAATAAACAGTGAGCAACCTTTAATGCTTCCAAGATTATGTCAAGCATCCCTTTCTGACTCTCAACTTCACTTCTGGCATTTTCCTGCCTGAAAACATAGTGACTCTCCCTTTCTGCCAATTCCCTCTTCATTTCTGCCTTGCTCTTTTCTTGCTCTAGTTTATCCTCCAGCTTTCTGATTTTTTCTTCATGCTCCTTTACTAACTGCCTCTTCTCTCTCTCCAACTCTTTTCTAAGTTGTTCTTGTATCACTTGAATTTGTTTCTGAATCTCCGCCTCAGCCCTTTGGTACATAGTATTAGTATAGCATCCTCCCTGGTTCTCCATCACCATGCGCTGGACTAATTCCAGCAGCTGTGCCCTCTGAGCCTCCTGTTCAGCCCCTGTTGCCTTATTGTTGAACTCACAGTGACGATCCGTGAACTGCTCTATCAGATCTTGAATGCCTTGTGGAGCTTCCTTTAAGTAATCATGGAACTCCATGCCATCCAAGTCATCTTTCCGGGTGAATAAGAGAATCATGTATCTCCTAGCTTTGGGTCCAAACATTGACAGCAACTTCTCCACTGCCTTTTTCTCTTCTTTGGTATATCTGCCCAGCGGGACCACCAGGAGAACAGCGTGAGGGCCAGGGGAAGTCAGGAGGATGCAATTAGCAATCTCCCTTTGTGTGTCAGCATCCGGTACCTCAGTGTCAAAAATGCCAGGTGTGTCCACGACAACTATTTCTTTCCCATTCCACATGCTTCTCTCTTTCTGACAGGCCTTGGTGATAGATTTTGCTGCAATGCTGGAATTGAATGCTTTCTTTCCAAGGATGCTATTTCCTGTGGCACTTTTTCCTGCTCCAGTCTTACCCACTAAGACAAGTCGCAGTTCGGAATCTTGATTTCCAAGCCCTGGGACATCAGGAAACAAAACCACAGCATTAGGATTGACTTCCAACATTTCCCACTTCAAGTGCCCCACATACTGGTTTTTCTCTATTGCCCACTAGTGTCCTGTCGCTGAGCCATCTCTGAACTCACAGGGGGTCTGTGGAACAACTGGGCCTTACCTCCCTACTGCAGGACTTGGAGAATGCCAAGAACTTCTCAGGAGTCCCTTGGGCTGCTCTCTCTGACCTGTGGAAGCTAAGTAACTATGAAAGCAGGCCCAAAATGGTTCAAGAGAGAACTCTGAGTTACTGCTGGTAGCTGTTATTCATAAGCTAATGTAGAAAGTAACACAAAATCTGACTTTGGGTCATCACAGTGGAAAATCCCCTTCCCCCAAATGATATCCAAAATGGACTTTTATTCTTCCCATTAAGAAGTCAGATAGGTGGTTGATTCAAGGCATCCCACCCTGAAAGGGAGTAAAGGGCACAGGAGCAGAAAGGCAAAATGTTCCTTCATATTTCAACATATGCATTCAGCTTCTCAGGGATTCTGAACCACAGGAGAAAAAAATGCCTTACTTTTAATTTATGACCTAAATGTAGAAACCTAATGAAGTTTTTCTATCTTAAATTAGTATATAAATTACTTCTATCAGAAAGTAGTGACAGTTCTCTGTAATTATTCTAAAATCCCTTGATACATAAATAATAGTATTAACAACTCATATAGAGTAGCAGTAGTGGAGTTACACTTTATTAGTTTCATTTGGCCTACTTCCTAGGACACCTGGAACTTAATAACAGAAGAGCATAGCCTATCACCTGATATTTTAAAGATCACTCTGTCTTAAGTTAAACACCAAATCATCTATATAGGTCTTTATTCTCTTTCCAGTCAGTATTTCTCTGCATATCTCTTCCATGTGTCTATAAAGTTGAAGCCTTCAGGATTTGTTCAGCACAGACAGGGACCATAGAAGTCAACTGACAAGCACATCTGAGAGCCTGTTTCTCCCTGAAGAAAGATCCTGTCAGCAAAGCCCTTGAGTAAGACTGACTCTTACAGGAGGAAACCTGGATTATAATGATCTGTCTCTGATTTGAGTCGATGCATACATGACCACACTGACAATATTGCTGACAATATTGCTGACAACTCCATTTTATTTTTCAGAGATATCATCACCATTCACCCAGTTCCTCAGACAAAACTGGGAATCTCCCTGGATTCCTCTCTTTCCCATACCTTCCAGATCTGACCCATTGGCAAGTTCACAAATCTGACCGCTTCTCTCCATTTGAAGACCATCATACTAGCCCAAGCTACCATCACTATCGATAACTCATCCAGTCCCCTAAGTGGTTTCTTTAGTTCTGTTGTGCCCTCTTTTTCTATTCTGTACATTGGAATGATTTTTCAAAAATTTCAATCAAACAGAAGAGAGATTTTGCAGAACTCCTCACTCTGGCTTCCAAAAAATAGGTAGTTATTCCCTATCTCCCACACACTTTATGGTGATTCTGTTGCTAATCCAAGGATTAGCAAAAACATTCCTAAGGCAGAGTATCCCACATTTGATAACCAGAATTCTGCAATGAGAGAAGTATATTTCCAGAAGCTGAGAGCAGTGGCTACAAGATGGTTAAGTTGAAGAGAAAATGTGGGTGGGATCAGATTATTACTTAGTTAGCACCACAGTGGAAGACTCCAAACTAAGGATATCCTGAAGGCATTAATTAGTCATCCAGAGAAAAGGAGGAAAATCATGGGAGGTGAAATGAAAAGTCACCAAAGACCAGCTCCAATATTGCAGCAATTTGCCAATGCTGATAACATATGGCAGTCTGTGTGATAGACTGCAGATATGGCCATGTATTAATCCCAGGTCTGTCCACAAGCCTCTTTAGCATGTGGATTTGCAGCTCCTCCCACAAGATGCTGAGTCTGTTTCTCCACCCCTTGCATCTGGGTGGGCCCTGTGACCTGGTATTGGCAATAGGGCAGTAGAAGCATGATGCAAGTACACCCCAAAAGTGCTGATGCCCTGTGGCTTGATGTCTCTTGCTCTTCAGAACCCTGCAACTGATTGATGATGAAGACACAAGGCACAGTCATCCCTATCACCCTAGCCTTCCCAAGAGCCTGCTAACCATCAGACATGGCCATGGGACTGTCCGTTCAAAAGTATCCAGTTGCTGGATCTTGAGAGTATTACCGGTATGCTAAGCGAAATAAGTCAGATGAACAAAGGACAAGAACTATATGATTTCACTTACATATGGGATATAAAATAGAAAGCAACAAGGGAACAAACAATACACATAAACAAACAAACTCATAGTCGCAGGCAACAAAATGGCAGTTACCAGAGGGAGTGAGGGGTGGGAAGAGGTTGAAGCAGTAAAGGGGGTGAAGTATATGGTGATGAAAGGAGACAATGCAATACACAGATGATATATGATAGAACTGTACACCTGAAACTTCTATAATGTTATTAATCAATGTCACCCAGCTATCTACCAAATTGATTGCCAAAGAAATGGTTGAGGTTTTAGGGCACTAAGTTGTATTGTGGTGTGGTACCAAACCAGCAAAAAATCAACTGATATAGTTGATTTCTATAGATAAGAAAGTAGAAGGAGAGGTTGTGTGAGAAAGTGAGTGAGCCAATCGATTGAATTTGTTGGTTTCTACCTCCAAATGGATTCTACCTCCAAAACATGCCTCCAGGAGCAGGGAAATTAGGACCTGAATTAATCAATTCCTCTCACATTCCTCCAATTGAAGAGAGGCTGAAGAGAGTGGCAGAGAGACAACCAGAGAGGCTACCTCTGGCCCTTCTGGTGTGTCCACATTGTTGAACTAGGAAATAAGAAACCTTATTATCCTGCGATCAATCAGGATACTTTAACCTCTCTTCCTCTTAGAGGTTATTCTGTGTCATGAAGAGACAGTGTAGAGATTTATGAGAAAAGCTGAGTCAATTAAGAGAATATAAGAAATGGGATTGGAAATATTTGCTCTTGCTTAGATGAAGACTGGCAGAGAGGATAGGAGAACCCACTGCCAGGTTCCCTCCGTCCCATCTGGTCTGGGAAACCCAAGCACCCTCTCACCATGGCCGGTCCTGGATTCACTGAAGTTGTAAGGAGTACTGTCCAGTTGAGCTGCCATCATAGTTTGAATTTCTGTAGATAAGAAATAGAACTCATTTTAGGGAAATGGATAGTAACTTCAAACCAAAACCACATGCAGCCAACAGTTTTTTCTATTTTCCTTAAACTTGCTACTTGATTTAACTTTCCGTTTCCCAACACTTCTCCTCAACTCCCCAATGTCAGTTTCGTTTTCACTTGTTACTTCTTATCTACAGAAACATATTTCAAGTGCTTCCTCAGCTCTGGTTCTGGACGCCCATTCCCATCCATTGAGTAAATTATTGCTTTGAATGCCATTTGTATGTACTCATAGCCTAGACCCTCCTCAGTATTTTGAACTTTTATATCCCATTCAACTTCCTCATTGGGCAAGTTCATGGGCATCTCAAACAAAACTCAACAAAAATGGAGCCTTTGACCATCTCCCAACCCCAAAACCTAGATCATGTAAATGATTCTGCCCCCATTTTGGTAGATGCCAATACCATTCAGCCAGTGGCAGCTGCAGAATCTTAGGGTCAGCTTCGTCTCCTCTCTCCTCACTTGCTCATCAGTCTACAATCAAATCCTATGGATTTTAACTCCAAAACTTGTAAAATTATCCATTATTCCAACCTTTATCCTAATCCAAGCCACTTTTATTTGTTTGCCATGCTTACAGACTCCTAACCAATCATTTCATCTTCAATCCTTCTTCTGCTCTATAATCAAGTGCTTTTTTAAAACTAAATTTTATTTTTTATTTCCTACAATTCCTGTCCACAGTAGGAAAGTGTTTGTCTGTTTTTTACTATACCCCTTTAGGTTCTAAGCTTTGTGATGATAATAGGATCATCTGTGTCTTGCATTTCTCTTATTAACTGGGATAAGCACAGTATTGGACAGAGAGTGGTTCTCAATAAATATGTGTTAATCCAATAAATCAATCAAAACTCTTTCTGATTTTTTGCTTCCTTTCTAATATTTCTGCCCAGCATATATCTGTGAAAAAGATTATCCTTTTCTTATTCAATGCTTAGAGTCATAAAAATATGCTATTACAGTTTAAATACTTTTTTCTCTTTGCTACTTAAAAACATTTGGCAATGGGGAAAGTGTTAAAGGGAGTGATTTAAGAAGAACAAGAAATTGAGAGAAAGGAACATAGGCATAAAGAAAAATGGCAGGAAATGATTACCTATCAATAATGACCTTAAATATAAATAGATTAATACTCCAACAAAAGACACAGACTATCTGCATGGATAAGAAAACATGAGCCATATATATGCTGTATACAAGATACCCACATAAGAACAAATGATTCACACAAACAGAAGTGAAAGGATGGGAAAATTTTTTCCATGCAAATGGAAACAGAAAATGCAAGGGTAGCAATATTTATATCTGACCAAATAGATTTCAAAGAAAAGGATATAACAAAAGACAAAGAAGGCCACCACATAACACTAATGGGATCAATACAAGAGATAGCAGCCCTCTACAGACTTCTTTGCAGTTCCTGTTGGGTGGCCCCAGAGCCAGTGCACCTGGTGGACAGCTTCAGACCATACCAGATTACAACTCTACACATCCACAAGCGACACACTCAAGCGGCAGACTCAGTGAGCAATGAAGCCCCACTGAAGCAAGTTCCATTCCCTAGGGGTGTCTCTTGCACAGCTTCTCTTTCTCTGTAGTCACAGCTGGTCCTCACATCCAATTGGCCTGGAGGTAAATTCTCCCAGGGACACCAACAGCCATCAAGGTTCAACTACAAGACTGTGCACACAGCCCACACAGGAGCACACCTAGAGTGCCCAGTTCAGGTGACTGGGGAGGTTTAGCCACCGGGTCCTACAGGACATCTACTACACAAGGCCACTCAACCAATTCCAAGAGACATAGCAGCTCCACACAATACATAGAAAGAAATCCAAACTGTGGAGACAAAGAAACATGTCACAAATGAAAGAGATGGAAGCAAGCAAACTACTGAATACAGAGTGCAAAACCATGGTTATAAGGTTTCTCAAGGATCTTAATGAGAGCTTCAAGGGACTCAAAGAAAGCACCAAAGAGCATTAATGACACTTTCAAGGACCTCAGTGAGAATGCCAAAGACGAAACATGAAACAGATGAAGGAATCTCAGAGGGAAGGGAGGAGGTGGGGCAGAAAGAGATTGACCAAAGATCTTACATGCATATATGCATTAACTATGGACACAGACAATAGGGTGGTGAAGACCAGGGGTGGGGTGGGAACTAGGTGTATGGAGACCAATACAGGGAAAAGTGGAACATCTGTAATACCCTCAAAAATAAAGATTTTCTAAAAAAGAAAAGAAGAAAAAGAAAAAGCTACCGCATTGGGAAGGGGGGGTAAACAGCATCTTATAAAATTAAACATGCAAAGCAGCTATCCCTCTTCTAGAAATTTTCTTAATTGAAATAAAAATGTAGATTTGTATGTGAATGCCTTCTTATTATAATATTCATAATAGCTCACACTGGGAGCACCCAAATGTTCCTCAACTGCTGAATGAATAAACAAATCTTGGTATATGCATACTGTTGTGGGTTAAATCTGTGCCCCCTAAAAATATATGTTAGAGTTTTTACACCTGAAACCACAGAATGTGTTCTTATTTGAAAATGGGTCCTTTGGAGATATACCGTAATTTGTTCAGATGGGGTCATACTGGAAAATGAATACAACAAGCTCACTCACTTCTTCACCATCAAAAACAGAAAATCAGACGATCTTCTTCCTGTGTGGCATCAATACCTATCTCTGTCTCCAGGTAAACTGACCTGGGACCTGTACCCTCATCTATCTTGCCCTAGAAACAGACATTACCTCTAATAGTCAGTCCTTTGAGGTTCTCTCCACTTACACATGGACCACGAGAGACATCATCATCCTTCCTCTCCTTGCTGGCCTAGGAACAGCTACAGGCCTAGGCACTGGAGGACTGGCAATCTCCCTTTCCTGCTATCAGAGCCTATCCAAAGATCTTGCAGATAGCCTAGAGGAAATTTCCCAAAATGTTGTCTCGGTCCAGGACAAGACACATTCATTGGAAGCAGCTACCCTCCAAAATCAGAGAGGACTTGACCTCCTCACAACTGAGAAAGGGGGGCTATGCCTATTCCTTCAGGAAGAATGCTGTTTGTATGCCAATCAGTCTAGCATAATAAGACATGGGCCAAAAAATTAGTTGATAGGGCCTCAAAAGTCTGGCAACAGCTTTTGGAATCCTGAGGCATCTGGCTGCAGAATCTCAACTGGACCTCCAGGCTTCTACTTCTAGTTGGAGACATCCCCCCTCCTCCTCCGCACCAATGCTCTTCCTGGCACACATCTTTGGCCTGTGCATCCTAAGAGACCTTTCCTTCTTCCTCCAAAACCACATTCATGTAATC